TCGCGACTTACTTCCCTGGCCTCCAGCCTGCGAGGCTCCTCCACCTGGCTGGAAACATGGGAAGTCACTATGCTCAGATGCGCTGGTGAGGCGGCGTCCGAATGTGTAATATGTGCGGCTGGTCCAGCTGGGTGCCTCCTCAAAGAAGCGTTGCTTGCCGGCTTCTTCGACCTTGGACTCGCAAATCCAAGTGTCTACGACGCTGAGGCTAAGGAAGCTGAAGGGAAGAACCATACAAATGTTCATGGATGCAGCATCCCTAGACCCTGGCAATATCGTCGATCATTTCATCCTCATCACCTCCGTATTAGGCTGGAGTCGAGGGAGAGGTTGTCAAAAGTGCGGTGGGGCGGCTAATATTCGCTCAATTACTTCACTTCCGCTACCTTCTTTATTCTCCCTCATGTTTGCAGCCCGTCCTCACCTTGAGCAGTGCCTGATGCAGCCTCAGCAAGCTCATTCATGGGCAAACCGATTTGACCAGCACCAACCGGCTGAGAGCCCGCACCGATCTCCAAGGTCTCATCCACCGAGCCTCACTGCACATGTTTCGCCAAGCAACACAGCCCCACCCAGCCAGCCCCTAAGCCACACAGCCAGAAGCCACACAGCCAGACACCTACACCATCAGGATCTGGCAAAACCACTTCCTTGCGACCTCAGCTCCGGCGGCGCTCGTTAAAACGGTGTCTAGAGTGCCCACATTTCCGGTGGCTGGTCGTCTGGAGTGCTAGGAGTGCTAGGGGCCCGGACTGTGAAGGCTGAGACAAGTTGTCCGCCCCACTCTGCTCCAGCCCTTTCAGCTGCCACCTGACGTCAGCGGTGGAAGCTGTGTTTGGGGCTCTGGTTTTTTGGCAAGGCTTGCTGGGCTTGGCCTGGCCAGCCACTCGATTGGCGCCATGTCTTCAATCTCATCCAAACGTTGCCTGGCAAGAAAACTCATGCTAGCTGCTAGACTCTAGCAGACACTCTCATAAGGAAACAACGGTGGACCCACTTATCTGGAGGAAGGCGTTTGAAGGCGCTGATCAAATCTTATCTAATCTTTTAGGCACAAAAATTGCCTGAAGGCATTTCACAGGGGCCCAAAAATAGAAAGCAAACTTGATCGTCACTCATGGCCTACCAAAGTCAAGCTCGGCGCACTGATCTTGCTCCATCTTCTCGCCCTTGGCGCGACGTGCACACCTGGCAATAAAAAATGAGATCGATTCAACTCTTTCTCCATGTCTATCTCTCCATAGTGTTGAACATATCTCGCATCTCAAAATGCCGTCAGCTTCAAGGCTCTCACATTTCAGCGTACTCAGGTCCTGATGGGGGCTGAACCTGGGCGTTCACACAGGGCACTGGTGAAGGACATCAGTTGTCTTAGGCCCTAGGCTTGAAGGAGAGCTTATTCGCAGCCCCAGGGAAAGACACCCTGGTTGATGTTTTTGATCCATACTTTGAAATGTTCCATTTGCTCTACCCCGAATCGGCGGCTGAGCCAAGTCATGTCTTTTCCAACAACCAGCTGTAATTCTTCAATCATGTAGCGTCTTCCATTCATTCCCAATGCCATTCCTGTTAGGACACGATTAAGGAAAAAGAAAAGGAACCGTGAGGTGTCCAAACTTCCAGGTAGAAGTTCAAGCACAGTTGAAGTCTAAGTACAGTAGAAAAAAGGAGAGAAAGCAAATGCCTCTGCACTGGCCGCAAAAAGCCGGAGACAAATGATGGTGAACCATTTGGACACCCATGGGGACACCGGAGATGGAGGGCCAGGTCTCAAAATCTGCAGTTCCGTCCCCTGGCTAAAACTCCATCCTTGCACCCTGCAGGGTCTCTTGGTGGCGCACATCCTCATCGCCTCAGGGCTCCCAAAGCTCAGTCTAAGCAGAATCCAATGGTGCTTCGGGTGACGAGCACCACGTGCATTGAGAAGCGGGCGAGATCGCCGCCCTGGTGGCAGCAAACTCTCCGAGTACCTTTGAAGCAAACCAACTTCCAACGCTTCCAGGATCCCTCATCTATCAGCTCGATCTCTATCAGATATGGGACTCAAGAACTTGCACACGCACCCGGTCGCCATGCTACGCAAGCCGCTTGTGGTCGCCATGCGTCACACTTGTGCAGAAAAGCACTTGCTCATGCTCCGGCGCACCAATTCACCGCGTCACTGATGCACTGCCTCATCGCAACAGCGTCTTCTCACTGCCTAGTGGCAAGGCACTTTAGAAGGCCCAAGCGCATTGGATGGAGAGATGCATAGACCAGCCGCTGTTGGAGAAACCTTCACAACTTGGGACATACTTGTGAGAGATCAACAATGGACAATGAAAGAAAATCTCTCAAAAGGATTCAAAAGCATGGACGGAGAAGAAAATTAGTAGCGACCAACCCTTCCTGCCTGCAGTTCTGTTTGGAGCCTGCCATTTACACGCCCAATAAACCCCTATGATGAATTCGTTGACCCAACTGCAACCACGGCAGCTCGACCACAAGATGCCCCCACTGCGTGAATGCCAGAGTCGTGCATCCAAAGACAATGGCCCGATCCTGGGCACATGGATACAAATTCAAATAAGCTGCTTTGCCCAAGCAACTCTCGGCAACCCATCTAGACCAGCCCCATGCCCCAACTCGCTCCAAGTCCTGCATATGCCTTTATTCTCCAAGTGCTTGTGCATCTCAGCCCGCGACAGGGCAGTTGAGCTCCCATCTATCTTGACCAACGATTCCTGCTTGGTCCACATCTTCTCAAATCGCCGCGGCGGGAAACAATTCACCCTCTGTTTCGGGACATTGCCTTTCCTTGACATCTGCAAGACTTCCCGCTAGCGAAACACTTTCGGCATCTCGCTCTAGACCTTTCACAGTGGGTGCGGGTCAGCTGAGTGAGTTGCTGTGTGTGTGTGCGTGTGTGTGTGTGCCCCTTGTAGTCACAGGGATTCCTTTTGAATTTTTTAACAGCGGGCAGTAGCCCACTCATGAGTCTACTGCCAACGAAGCTGCTCATGAGTTGGGAGGATATCGGAACTGATCACTCCGACGTACCCGCTTGGTTGTGGCGTTGACAAGCTTTCACTCCAATCTTCTCGTAAAAGGCTAGTGAGTTCTGCAGATGTGCTCGGACCGCCGTCACTTCGACCTGTTCGTCGTCTCGTGACTTTGGAACTTTGGCCTTTAACTACAGGCGCTCAGGCCCCCTCACCTGGTCTTTCAGGATTTGGGTTTCTTAGGCCGGCGTGTGGCACCGCTGTCGAGTCAGCACGCATATCCATAAGTGTGTCTCTCCTAGTGAGGGTCCGGGATGAGCCCCTAGAGTGCCTCCCGTGGACCCGTCGAACGGGTGTCTGTCCATGCTCCCCGGCTTTGGGAACGTAGGTGTCCGGAGCGGACAGCAGGAGGCTTATGCCAAAGTTATTTGCCAAGATTTGTCGGATTATTGAATTCCAAGTTTGCTCATGCCTTTACGTGGCCGCAGCGGTCAGAGGTGGCCGCCCTCGGGCATGCCGTACGTGGTCGCAGCGACCGAAGTTTGTTCAAGGTTCATTGGAGACCTTGGGTGCACATACAGCGTGTACATTCAAACGAGGCAGGTTTTCCTAGGTCGTTGTAATGAGGTTGGCTTCATCGGTTTCGGTCCCCTCCAATGGTTCCCTTTTCATCCTTTCCCCTTTACACACTTCTTTGCTCTTCTTTTCTTTCATGTCTTCCCTTGCTTCATGTCCTGTCATCTCATCTCTTTCCTTCTTTTGCGTGCACACTGCCCGGCCCTTAGTCTGTACATGCACAACCTACTTTCAAATCAGGCTTCAGGTCGCCCAGGGTTTTATAATGAGGTGGGTTGTCATCGGTTGTTCCTGCGCACTTGGTTCCTTTTCATTGCAACCACACACACTCTTGTCCCGTCTTGTCCTCTTCATGTCTTCATTCTTTTGTCTTCTGCGCGCACACTCACACTTTTGCCGCCCGGACCTTAGTGCTTCTCGCCTCCTCTCGGGGAGGCGTGTGTGTGTGTGTGCCCCTTGTAGTCACAGGGATTCTTTTTGAAGTTTTTTAGCAGGGGGCAGTAGCCCACTCATGAGCCTACTGCCAACGAAGCTGCTCATGAGTTGGGAGGATATCGGAGCTGATCACTCCGACGTACCTGCTTGGTTGTGGTGTTGACAAGCTTTCACTCCAATCTTCTCGTAAAGGGCTAGTGAGTTCTGCAGATATGCTCGGACCGCCGTCACTTCGACCTGTTCGTCGTCTCGTGACTTTGGAACTTTGGCCTTTAACTACAGGCGCTCAGGCCCCCTCACCTAGTCTTTCAGGATTTGGGTTTCTTAGGCCGGCGTGTGGCACCGCTGTCGAGTCAGTACGCATATCCATAAGTGTGTGTGCGCGGGTATGATACGCCGTAAGCCGTACGCATGGATGGGACTGACTCTCTGTAATTCATTCGGGGAACGGATCGGAACCACTTCGACGGACGACGGAACCACTTGAGGGCCGCTGAGAGCCGTGACGGTGCTGCATCTCCTCTAAGGCTTGCCTAGCTCAGGCCAGGAAGACTCCAAGAACAAAAAATGACATCTGGACATAGAATCATTGGAAATTAGAAGGCATTTCTGTGCTTTTACAAGTTTGGTCCAGGAGTGAGGAGGGAAAAACACAGAAGACTCCTCACATCGCCATTGTCATGCGTATCCGAAAACCGACCTGTCGGTCTCCGCCCCTTTCTGATCGCACTTCTCGCTCGCTCCAAAACCAATAGTCTCTAGAGGCAGTGCCACTGGCATATCAGCTTAGTGTGCTGCCATCAGATCAGCTTTTCTCAGCTGCCAAAAATATGCATTGCTGATGCCCCGCATGTGACAGCATCAGTATCAGTAAAAGATCGTAAGTAGCGCTTGCCAGCTGCTTCAAAAAAATAGATGTGCCAACACTTTGGATGCCCTTGGGAGCCTCCAAGTGTGCCACGACACTCTAAATGCTGTGAGGAAAAAAGGTTGGAAGAAGCTCTCTTCTCATGCCGTCCATCGTCCTCGGCCCTTTTGCGGTTTGTAGATTAAGTCCTTGGAGCAGTTAACACTGACACCTTTCATGGTCTCTGGCTCCACTCAAGCAACTGGAAGAACATGTCTAGTGTTCGAAAGAATGATTCCGACCCCACTGTTTCGCCACGGGGCATTTTGTTCTAAATAATCTCTGAAGTTCAAGATTGCACTCAGGTCCGCTGTTCTTGCTGCTGGCCCTGGGGGACCGCGGCACACGGACAGGATAGCTTTGCTGACCTTCTCACTGGTCGCCTGATTTCGGTGGCGGGGACAAAAAGTGCCTCAAAATCGAGCTTTCTGCTTGCCAGCTGACCAGCTTTCACAGACCCCTGCCACGGCCAACCCCTCTCAACAAACAGATTACCAAAACACAAGCAACCAAAGTGCGGCCAAAGTAACCGGCAGAGGTGAGGTGAAATGAGATGAGATCACGCGCTGGATTTTGGGCCAGCGGCGCGGGATCTCTCGGGCAAAACTCTCTAGCCTGGAGCAAGGAAAGCTCTCTCATCTGAAATCGCACCAGCCCAGGCCCAACGAGAGACATGCCCGGCCTTTGAAAAACACTGCTTCAGAACCTCTTGTTGATTTATGTTTGGTGCCCCCAGGAGCTGAGTCATATCCTCTCTTCATACGGGACAAGACACCCAAAAGAATGGATACGGTCACGCAAAAAGGACCGCCCAGACTCAAGCCTTTCATGACTGCAGTCTCCTTTTGAGAAATATCGGAAGCCCAAAAAACAGGCGGACAAACACCCAAACTCCTATCCGACTCTCCACTTCCCAAACCCTCGATCCTTCCCGATCCTCCATACTCCCCAATCCCTCCCCCAAATCGCCGGCGGAGAAGCGTCTCGGGGTCTCGGCTGATCTGGAGCTCTGCCACGAAGCTGGGCACCTGGAAGCCAGTGCCCTCCACTCCAGCCGCCAAGCGCTCCCACTCTCCACGCCAGCCTGCGGAGGAGGGGAGCGCCGGGAGGGCGGGAAAGGGTGGAAGGTCGGAAACCAATATCTACCTTCGGCATATGAACAAACATGTAGAAAAAGTAATAGTTTCTAATAGCTTCTTGTTACTACTAGTAAGGCACTTGTTACTAGAAACGATGCACTTGTTCCTAGTAGCTTCTCGCTTCTAAAATATATAATATATATATATATATAACTGGGCAGAGCAAAGGCAACGCAAAAAGTCCAACCTTTACAGTAGTTACTTTGACGGACCTTTAGGCACTTGCTTTCCGTGGCTAGGGCCTACAGTGCCTCAAGCAATTCAAACGACACCTGCGTAGGATCTAGCTGAAGGGAAGCGGCCAAGCAGCCGTTAGTAGGTGGTGAGTGAGGTGCTGTTTCCTTGACTTGCTACGAGCCAAGGCAAGAAAGAATCTATTTCTGGACTTGAACCGAGAATGTGAACAAGACAGGCCGACTGGTAGACGGGCAGAGTTGAGGACATGAGGACATGCAATGCAAAGTTCAGTTCAGAGATCATGATAAGACTGTTGCCTTGGCAAAGTCCAGTGTGGTGGCCCCATGATAGAAACTGGAGTGCTAGGTAGCGTCTACACGGACGTGTGCAGCGCCTGGGCGGCACTCAAAGCCTTTCGCGTCCTTGTTCGGAAGGACGCGGTCGTCGAGTTTTGCACAGGGTGAATCTTTATCCTGCCAATTGCACCTTGAGCACGGCTGAAAGACTTGGAGACAAGTCTTAAGTCTTGGATGGCTGCAAAGGCTACAGCTTCACACAAAACCACGATAATTCTGTTTCTGTTTGTCTTGTTGCTGCTCCAGAGCACGGATACCAGCCAAAGTAGCCGAGCTCCGGCTGTGGAGCCTTTGAAGCTAGTGACAGCTCATCTGGAACCGTCAAATCACCTGACGACATTTTTGTTGAAAATACACAAATGCTGAAGCAAAACGCGTTGGGGAAGCGCCCGGCCGGCGGCTACTGACAGCAGGGATCGTGGATTGATGTTGTTCAAGAGGAGGGTTGACCTGAGATGATTCATCAGCTCTTCTCTCTCTCTCTCTCTTTATTCCTTTCTTTCTTTCTTTCTTGCTTGCTTGCTTTCTTTCTTTCTTCCTTGCTTTCTTTCTTTCTTTCTGTCTTTCTTTCTTTCTTTCGTTCGTTCTTTCTTTCTTTCGTTCTTTCGTTCTTTCTCTCTCTCTCTCTCTCTCTGTCTCTGTTGCGAGATTCCATCACTTCACCAAAAATGCCGTTGAGGTCTCTCCAGGTCACTTTTGGTATCCATCCTTCAAGACCTGTCGGCTCTCCACATCCACCTTTCACGTGCCAAAAGCACTAAAACCACCACTGGAGTAGCTGCGCAGCGTTTCACTCCACCAAACACTTTCAGCCGCGCCTTCTCCAGCGGCTCATTCCGAGCGAAGTATAGGAGACCCTCTTTGTAGGGCGAGCGTGTGAGGATTTCCGGCGGCTCATCCGACAAGCCAATGAGCATGTCCTTGGTCCAAGCGCCCGAGTCTGTGCTCGACTTTCGGGTTGCCACCTGCAAGACAAGACCTGTGTGGCCAAGCGTCCGTGCAAACAAAGGTGTTCGAAGGCTCATGGAAGAGCATTGTTTCTTCGAACACCGTCCGTGGGGCATAATCCACCGTGAGCTGGAGGTGGTCAACGCCCTGCAAAGCAGAACTTTCGCGCTTCAAAAGCCGAACTCAAAACGACACCGAGCGACTCAGAACTCGGCTCGTTCGATTGACGCTTGGCCTTCGAACGCCAGGGTGCCAAGGACGAATCCTTGGGCACCTTCTGAAGCGTCGTTCCCGGGGCAAACCCCCCAAAGGGAACCTGAGAAGCGAACCCAAACGATGACGGTACGGGCTCTGACGCGAACCAACACCCCGGTAAGAACTGATCAAAACCGGGCAGGAAAACAAAAAGAAATGATCGGGGGCTCGTGTTGAAGGCCGACTCGTCTGGACTCACTCTGCACTCTGCCAATGGCAGTTGGATTGAGCAAAGAGGCATAAGGGCCAAAGTCCACAGGCCAGCTAAATGTCCGTGGGCTTACCCAGACCTGGCCAAGAGGAAGTCTCACCTTTTCAAAACACATCATCGAATCATCGGCTGCCTGCTGCCAATCAGTTGCCCAAGCATCTAAACCAAAATTGATCAAACTCCAGCTTCACCGAATCCCACCTCTGCTTTTGGAAACAATTTGGCCCATTGCGGGGCATAGTACTTATGCTCAATAGCAACGGTGCCACACACCTTGCATTCAAGGGGCAGGCTTGACCGGCAAAGAAATCACGGAAGCTGCCTGCCATGCCTTTCTTCCAACGATGGTAACGCACGGCCAAGGAACGATGTAACGCACATCGGTGAGGCCAGCGCCTCGAAGCATCTCCATACATTCCTCAACCGGAGACACAGCGTGAGGCCGCCCCTGAAAGCCCCGCGGACCGTGGAGCGGCCAAGGCACTGCTGTTGGGTTGCAAGGGTTGTACACCAAATATCCACCACCCTCCAGGCTGAGCACCGTCATCCGAATGGGAATGTTGGCACCTTAGGGGCGTTGGAAAACATCGGGAAAGCAATGAACATTCTTGCGGTTGACACTTTGCGGTGTAGGGCGCTCAAAGACAAGTCCAGTCATTGTTTCAGTCACCTCATGTGTGTTTTTTAGATTTGTTGTATCTTTTTTGATTTTTCTTGCTGGTTGTTCGTGGTGACAAACATTTTAAGCGCCCTGAAGAAACTTAAGGGCTGGGCCAACTTCCAAGCCAGGGATGCCATAGGCTTGGTCAAAAATGTGCACACCATCAGCAACTTTCTTCATGACTGTGGGCGCACTGCCAGCAGCTCCGGCCGATCCGGCAAATGTCGCCAGGGTCAGGGATGGTCCGAGAGTCAGAACCTGACACAAAGAATTGACCCAAGGACAAGGACAACCTGAAAGCTATCTGCAGCCAACGAAATCTATCGGATGTATGTACCCTAAACTCAACCTGTAGACACCTTCTGGTTGAGAGATTCTTGCACCGCACCTGGCGCCGACTCGACTGGCAAGACGTGCGCATGTCTCGCCGGCGGCTGGAGGCGGCAGCGAAAGACAGACCTAGCATGGCGCTCTGCAAGCTCATCGTGCCTGGCAATTGCAAGTGGAAAGTGGAAACTGCAATCGAATTATATAAACGAAACGTTTGCAAAAAAAATACTGGAGCGAGATTTAACTTGTCCGCGGAAGAAATGCAGTGTTGGGCAAATGCAACCAAGTTGCCTTTAACACACCCATCTCCGCACATGTGTCGCAACATGTCGCAATTCAGTCATTCCCCCACACCTTTTGGTAGAAAGTTGGAGAAACAAGAACAAACAAATAGCACATGAGGCCCTCTTGCCCCTGTAAGCCCCCCGTCAAGATCCCCACAACAGGACGAACTCCCCAAGAAGCCTTGCACACGTGAGACCCGGGAGGAGGGTCTTGATCTTTGCGCGTCGGCAGCCAGCGATCGATCTGGAGCAGCCCCAACGTGCACCTGGCGGACGTGGGGCACATCGGAGCACGTCGCTCTCTTGGAGTCTTGGATGATGTCTAATAGAAACACAGACTTTGCCCCAACAGTCGCTGTCATGTCACTCGTTCATGGGTTCGGTACACCCTATCGCTGGGCCTGCGACGGCAATGCCAATGCCATTAGCACCACAAGGCCGACGCTCCCTTCTGCGGTTGCAAAAGGTGCCTACGAACTGCCTTTGCCAATTTCGCAAGGCGTTTCTAGACTTTTGACATTAAGCCTGGATGGCAACAAATATGTCCGCAATCTCAGAAGCAATGAAAACTCAATGGCATGGCTCAAAACGGGCGAACCGAGCGGTGGCTCTCCAAGCTTGAGGAACAAACCGAAGAGCTGGCCACACAGATGCTGCAGTACCTGGCAAGATTTTTCCCAGGCAACGTCAGACACCTCACAGCTTTAGATTTCTCCCACCTAAGTGGAAACTTCCTCATTTGACAAAGCAAAAGCAAATGTGTCATTTAACACCTCCTATATACGCTTCTTGCGCGAGTTTGCCCCTTGTCACTCCGGTGTTGGAAAGCCAAGCCTGTCGGATTCGAAAGCTGAGCGCAAAGGCCGGCCTGGCGGAAGGTAGGCACCCTCGGTGGGGGGTTCGAGGAGTGGACAGGTCTTGGACGTTTCATTTTTGGCATCGGCAACCTGAAGATTCCCTAGGATCCGCAAGGGGACTAGTTTCTGGCCTCTGTGATTTGTGAACCCGAAAAAGGCAAGTCCCAACTGCTGCATTCTGGCCAAAATGGCAGGCAGGAAGGACCAACTCCAGAATCTTGTCCAAAGAAGCTGGGTGTCTTTGAACCTGTCAGTCGCCCAGCCAGGTCCACTCACACTTGCTTTGTTGCTCACGACAATTTCCAAGCTTCTGGGACTTGCGCTTCTTTGGGGACTTCATTTAATCGTTCCGGGCTTGCATGCCCCTCATGCAGAGCCAGCCGTAGAATCGAGAGTTCCATGACAGGGTAGGCTGGTGCCTTCAGGGCTTGAAGTTGGAAGCATGAAGTCACTGCATGCAAAACCCAGCCTTTGGATGCACACGGCCTCTCAAACCATCAACCTGCACCTGCGACGGGTGGGTTTCATTGAACCTTTACACCGTCTTCATGATCCGTCATCGCGGTGAGAACGGCCTGCAACTGCCGCAAAGCTGCCTCGAAACAAAGCTGCATCAAACATAGAGATAAAGCCGACGTTTCCACAATCAATCAGCACCAGGTAAGGAGAACACATGGCCAAACCTCGCAGCCATGCCGCGCCGAGGCCTCAATGACAATGAACCAAGTGGCTCAAAGGAATCCCAAATGCCCGTTAGCCCCTGTCGTATGGCGGCATACGCATCATCTGGCGTCCACGCTGGTTGTCCTCCTCTTGGTCCGCAACAGCTCTGGCTCTTTCCATCTGAACCTGCATTCATTCACATCCTTTGCCAAGCACTTGTTTGACATTCAGGCTGTTTCTTCACGAGGGGTGATGTGAAAGGCAGGGCCTCTACTTTTCTTCGCCGCCTTGAACGCCACCTGTTTACAAAAACAAATGAGTCACTCCTTAAGACCGTGTGACGAATGCATGCCGATTTTCATGCATTTCTGTTGGGTCTTTCCTAATACCTGTAACAGTGGATGATGATGGTTAGTAAGGACCTTGTTCAAAAATAGTGATAACTGTTTACTGACTGTTACAGATAGCAGGACAGACCCAACATTTCTGCATGTGTGTCTCAACTTTTCCAAACACACACACACACACACCCATTCAAATCTTCAATTCTACGAACATGTATACATAGTTGCGGCCTCTGCAACTCCTCTGCCGCTTCTTTGGCCTCAACACTTCCAGGCTCTTCCGGCTTCACCTCGACCCATACGTCTCGCACAGTGATGACCTCAGAGTTTCACAACCAGCTGAGGCCGAGAATTCATGCATCTGTCGGTCGGGTCTCCGGTAGGAGAGGTCCCACACCGTTGCTTCGGAACCCAGATTTCGCCAAGGAATCCTGGCTGACACCTCATTTGGAAGCTCGCGGAACACGCGAGAAGTGGAGCTTCGAGGGAAGTGCCAGGAACGAACGGGCCTCGTGTTGAATGTGTTTTTGCACACGCCTTTTTGACTGCGCGAGAGGTCTGTGGTGGTGTGGTACGACAAATACGTGTTAGACGTGAATCCATGAATCCGTTTCCACACAAACTTGATGCAGCCGATCCTGCCATGCACGACAGGTCAATGTCGGGTTTTGACCGTTGACTGAGGCATCAACGCTGACATCGCTGCTGAGTAGTTGAAGGCGTTGGTCGTGTAAAAGTTCCGAATGAATACGGACCTAGGAGTCCATTGCAATAAAGAAACAAAGAACATTGGGACAAGATTTCTGCGCAACGGTCGGGCGACCTGCCCCTGTACTGTGGCTGTGGCGTGCCGTATCTCTACCTGCTACAAAACAAGCAATGAATGAGATGAGATTACCACATGCTTAGTGCGTCCAGCCTCGCCCACTTCCAAACTCAAGGAGGCCTTTGTCACACCAAATCACGCATGAATTGGAAGTTCTGTGCATTTCGCATACAAGCATGTGGATGAAAACCAATAACTAAAGCCAATGTCGTCAGAAGAATGGTTTCAACATGTTTTCAACAAGCCGAAAAGATGCCTGCAAGTTCTGCTCTGTGATGCCCTCCAAATAATCGGATAGCAATCCAGAGATCTGCCGAACAGCCCACCTGCCAACGGTTGCCGCAGGACGCCGCTCATGGTTTTTGCTTGCACGTCCACTTCTGGCACCCCCCGCCTCTTCAAAGCCATGCACTCAAGCTCAGCCGGGCAGCTCCCACCTCACTGAAGGCAACCAGGCCCTTGCAGCGCGTGACATCGTCACCCACAGCCCCAAACAACCATTGCATCCGCTGCGTGGGCGAAACCCAAGTTGCTGCAGCATGTCATGACAATGTTGGCATTGTGTTCCCTCAAAGCATTGCAATTAAGCCGGGAGATTGCCTTGTCAGACTGACCAAGCAGTTGGCCAGAGTGACTCCCAAAAGTAGAACCTTACAACTTACAACTTAGATTTTTTGAGCTGGTGTCTTTGTCATTCATCACTGGCCTCAATGTTGTTTTGGCATGTGAAGCTGCCGAACCGCAGCTAGAAGCGTGTCCAAGTCAACAAAGTACCATTTTCACTTCGCAGCCATACCTCCCATCAAGAACCCACATGTGCGTATACCTCTACCAAAGTATGGGCTAGAATCATTTTGTGAAAACCTGGACAAACACGGATTTTTGTCAAAAAAACATTGCATCTACAAGAATGTTGCACTAGTGAGTACGTGCACCTTCCAAGTAACAAAGCCCCGGAATGGCAAATGCAGTCGCAAGAATTACTTGCCGATGGACTGCAACATTGCGCTCATGATAACATTCGGGCCCGACTGAAATGAAAACACACATGAAAACCCCATGCATTCTTCAGTCACAATATTGACGCCTGTGCAACCAACAGGCGCTTTGCGCACGTTAAATTTGCCCATACCATGATGGGACCCGGCCAGGGAACTTTGTCAAAATGCTGGGTTGCAGAACAATGTATCCCAAATGTGGCGGTTTGCAGTTGAGGACCTGCGAAGGGCCTGGCTACAAGCAGATCCTTTTGGACCCTTATTGCTCTGGGTTCGGCGGTGGGCCGCATGGTTATGCTCCATGTTTTCTGTTTGGGTTGCACGTGCTGAAACTCCGGAGAGTTTGCGGATACGAAGACGCAAGTTTACATGTTGACGTGAGGATGACACCTTTCCACAAACAAACTCCGTAAGGCTCGTTGCGGGTTGTTTTGTTGCATTGTCGGATGGATGATACCAATGTGGTGGCTGAGGTGGTAGGACAAATTGAACACGTTTTTCCCCTGCCCTCGCGCGGGCCACTCTCCCGCGCGCTCTACGCACGCTATGTGCAAAGCCAGCTCAGGGGCGCACAGGGAAGCGGCTCGGGGCGGAGGGCCCCGAGCGCCAGGACCTCCTCTCCGCCGGCTTTCGATTTCCAGCGCACAATACTCTTGCAAGTTCGGCCTGAAGGGCTGTGGAGTACAGGGCTTTGTCAAAACATGGCTGCGGCCTTTTTTCTTGGGCAGAAAAGCAACTTCAGTTGAAAGGTTTGTGAACAATTCTATATACATGTTCGCTGCTGTCATGATTGGGTGCGTCGTACTCTGACACCCTGCCTTGTGGATGCATGTGTTTAGTGCGTCCACACATTTCTCTCGAACTGAATCCGGTGGCCGAAAAGATTTATTGACTGTAGTATGACTGTAGCCACCTTCATCAAAAAGTTCATCTCTCACCTTGGCGTTCACCGCCTTCATTGCTCCTTGCGTCATTGGGCTCTTGGGTGTTCTCTTTGTCACTCATCTCCGTGTCTCCATCTTCATCATTCCAGAAAGGTTGTTCTCCTCCTCAGGTGAGCTGTCACTGTACGCTGTCATCTGGATGTCTTCTCCAATCAGGAACCTCATCAAGCCACCGACGTGCAGCAGCTCTGCAATGCCGCTACGGCTAGCGTATAGTTCTGACTCTGCACTTGACAATGCTATCAATTTTTATAGATTGCACGAGGAAATCAAAGGATTGCCAGTCATGAAAATCATGTATATGAAGTCGTTGACTTTCTCGACACTTTGCATCCTGCCCACTTAGCGTCTGTGACTGCTTCCAGGTTGAAAGAGCAGGAGTTTGTTCTTCTGGTGCTCGTCATGGTTCAAAGTCCAACCACTCTTCAACAGTTGGCAAAGGTTAAGCAAGCAACTTCTCACTTCACCAACCAGGAACCTGTGGCGAAGTGCGAACACCTCGCCATTGGTGTCCATCACCTCGATCTCTGTTTTTCGACTTCCTGCTACCGTCTTCCTCGGCAGTCTTGTAGTTTGTGTTGGTTACCAAAATCTTTGTCCTCCTTTTGGAACTTCGTCACTTCGTGGGAAGCAAGTTCACACCTTATCCACTGTCAAGGATGATTGTCTCAAGTTCCTCTTCTGGGATCTCCTCAAGCACTACTCGAACTCGTCGATGGGGTCGCTCATGGGAATGAAGTTCACCAGACATGAAATGTCCGTGATCATCGATGTTAACCCTGGTGTTTGGACC